CTAGAGACCTGAAACAAATGATATTTTGGTATTGCTGAGAGAACATAATATATATTCAGGTTTGTTTACTCATTTAAATATTTTGAAAAATAGTTTCAGTACTTCTCTTAACTGGATCACTAATGTTTAATTAAAAATTATGTTCTAAAACTGGGTGTCATTTTTGTTTAAGAAAAAAAATAATCTTAGGGCTTCCTACACCAAACTGATGAGGTCCATTTTGGTATTTGATTTATGGCCAAGTTCCATGTGAGGAACTTTTCCCAAAGGATCATCCAAGCTCTGTAATTTGGCCCACAATACCTCTTAGGAAGTATTACTTCTCATCGACCCTAACTGCCCTTTGTCCCCAAGACCTAGTGATGTTTCCTTCTCTAAATCCTATACTGGTATTCCATCTAATTAGAACGACTACTACATAACATTCAATGTGAATTCAAATCCTCTTGTGTTGCTCTCTATTTGCTTTATATAAGTTTTCTCTAATATACTCAGAGACTGCCTCCTTCACAATGATTACCATGGCATTGAGCATTTAGTAAAAATGTTAGAGGAGTACTTGGGGGCTATATTCTTTTCCAAGTTCAAGTCTCACAATCACACACATACAAAATGACTACAGTTAACATACAATACCAGTGCTATTATGCAGAAAGGAGTTCTTCAACCTAAAGTGCACTCTTTAGATGCCACTTTTCTGAAAAACAGAATGAAAACTGGTTTTCCTCCTGAAAATGCCTTTAATATTCCTGCAAAGAAGTTGTGGATAAAATGAAGGTTCCTGTGGCCAGGATTCTCACCTGGCCCTGGTTGGCTAGCTCACTACACATGTGTGGGCAGTACGTTGCTATTGACTCTATATAAAGAGCCCTGACCAGTGCTCTGGGTGACACAGTGGCATGGCTACAGGAGAGCAGAGCAGAGGCTGGAGTGGTGGCATGGCCGAGGACAGAGGCCCAGAGGATGGCTGTGTGGGCAGAGAGGCCCAGAAGCAGAGGCTGGCTTGCTGCATGCAGACTTGCTCTGAGTGGACAAGATTTCAGTGATTGACCTGCCATTGTGGAAATAAAGTTGGGTATAACCCTTTCACCCCAAGAACGTTCTACTGTCATGTCTTTGGTCACACTGAATCCATAGTGAACTTGCCCAAGGACTGAAACCTACTGGCGACAGAAGTCAAATCTCACACACTCCAGTTCTTCCTCTCATCCCTTTATCCATCCATTCATTCACTTAATGCCTATGATCTAACCACACAATGCATGCAAGGCCCAGAGAGGTGCGTGGGAAACAGCAAGATGTATCAGACTTGCTTATTGCTGACTGGTGAGATGAGACTTCCTCTGACTCATGATTTTAAGAGCAGCAACCATTCACCAAGAGAGGAGTGCTTACAGAATGAGCTCTGTTGAAGATGGGCATCTGTAGGGCCACTATCCTTGAATTTCTTTCAACAGGGCCTTTGAATCAGGTAATACAGAAGTAACTAACAGTACCTCCAAATTTTGCATGTATTGATGCAGCAATATTGAGTAGTTTGAGCAACAGAAAAAAGGGGAAAAAAATCAATGCCCTTTTGAATTGCTGCCAGAAAAATGCTGAAAACAAAAATAAGAAAGATTATGAAAGCATTCAAGTAATCCTAGGAAGGAGAGTCAAGAAAACAATCATAAAATTAAGATATGATATAACTAAATAAATGTGGGTATTTAGATAATAGCTATTTTAAATTGTTAAGTAATTTTTAAAATGATTAGTACTAAAGGGCATGCATTTTTTAAACCAGATCTAGTGGGTTATCACATTTTATTATAAACATCGAAGTTAAATCCACACTTGTGCTGCTGAGTTAATATGGAATTAAGTTTCAGAAATTCATAGAGAAATGATTTAATACCCCTGGCCCTTTCAGTTCCCTCCTTAAAGTGCTTATTCACCAGGTCTAATGTAAACCTGTTGTGTCTGTTGCGCATCTGGTGGCAGTCATAGTTAAGTGAAACAATTTGCATAAATTGTTATCCTTGCCCCTTTCAACTGAATTACCAGATTTGAAAGGCTGTAACACATTATAGCAATTATGTTTGCTTAGAAATCTTTTACGTGTGGGTTGATATTTCGGCACCATGGTACTCAGCACATATGCCCCCTGGTAAATCACCTTATTAAGACTGTCGATACAGAAAATCATATGTGCAAGACAGAAACAAGTCAGGCTTCCTTCTGGTCTTCTATGGCATTTCATTTTGTGTTCATGAGGCAAAAGTTACCTCAGGGGATATGCTTTTGTGAATACAAAAATAATGGGCACCATGGCATTTAAGAAATGCAAACAAGTCTCTATTAAGTCTGTACTTAACAAGGTAGTGGTCCTTTCCATGTAGTTCTGATACTTTCATTTCACAAAGCCAAGGACTTCACAGAACTCTCCTGCACAGGAGGAAGTTATTACCGTTATTAACAGTTTCATGTTCCTATCATCAAATCCTGGCATGCTGGAGGGAATGGGAGCCTCAGGTCGCTGGGGGTGACAAGACGTGTGAGATAGAAGACACAAGGACACTAACGCATGCTGAGGACTCACACTGAGCAGTTGCTGGGCATGCACTTTACATGTATTACCTAATGCTATCTTCTCAGGGCTCTGAGGTCCATAGGACTACACCCCAATTTCACAGATAAGGGAAATAAAGCACAAGGATGTTAAGTCATTTCCCAAGGTTTATGGAATTCAACCAAGATTTGTTTCAGATCTGTGTTTTTTTCCCAACATACAATGGAATTTCCCTAGAATAAACACTTCACTTTGAAGGTCATAAGTCTCAGGGACAGACAAGTTAAGATAATAAAGAAATTTAAGTGGTTTTACAGAAATATATGGATAATAAATTCCTAATGGGTTATGTAAGGTAACTAAGTATTTGGGGACCATTCCTGACCTTTTAGTTTGCCAGAAAAGACTAGGCCTTTCTCATGTGCATCCCTTGACACCACTCTCAGGACACAAGTGAACAGATAATGAATCTTATCAAATATGGCAGGTTTTTGTTTCATGCCAGTTAAAAAAGCTTTCTTCAAATAACTGGATACATGTGGGTATCAGCCATCTTAATTCTGAGGTGACCAGAATCACCTCAGGTAACCATCAGCAACCTTATCAGCATCTTTTTCCACCCTCCCCTCCTTCCCAACTGCCTTATTGAAAGACAGGGCTTGTGGCCTCTTTCCTAAACTCATTCTTTCCTGCCTCTTAAGGCCTCACTCAATTAATCACAATCTCTCCTTTTATCTTCAATTTATTCCCCCTCCCTATTCCTTTCTGGAAGTTAGTGGAACGTCTTCTCTAGTTAAAAAAAACAAACAAAAACCCTCTCCACCCTACTCCTCTCTTGGTATTCTATACTCTTGTCCCATTCACAACCAGCTTCTAGAAAAGGTGATCTGTACTGCTTGTTCCGATTCCTGCCTCCCTACTCAGCCACCATCCCATGACAACCTGGCTACTGCCCCCACCATTCCACTCAAGTCAGCCTTGCAAAACTACAAAGGATCACCTTTTTCCTAATGCAATGGACACCACGTGCTTCACCAGACTGTGAACTAAAATTGGAAAGATGGGAGGATTATCATGGTCTCTGGGCAAGAATGATAAGCAATTCATGTAGTGTCTTATATTTTTTTAGTAGGAACTCATTTTGTTAAATAGACATATATCTAGATAGAATATGTTTGCATATAAAAAAAGTCTCAAAAGACAGACATCAAAATTTCAACAGTAGCTATGCTGGGAGGCAGGATTTAGGGCAATTCTTAAATTATGCATGATTATATATATTGTGCACCATATATATTTTACATGTATATATATATATATATGTGTGTGTGTGTGTGTGTGTGTGTGTGTGTGTATGTGCATGTCATATATACACACACACATATATATATTTTTTCAACTTAGATAATGATGAGATATTCCTTACCTAAATAAAAAGAAATGCATCACCTAAAAATATCTAGTGGTCCCTTTTCAGTTCTTATCTTAGTTAACTCAGTAGTATTTGACAGTGTTAGTATTTTTCTATTTTCTTGGCTTCAGGGGCAATATTCTCCCTCTTGGTCTTCTTCTACTCTGTTGGCATTTTATTCTTAGTCTCTCCCTGCTCTATACATAGTCCCTGGGTGACGGTCTCATTCAAATCAGCAGCTTACATTATATTAAAAACTCCCAAATCTATTTCTCTAGCTCAGGGCTCTTACCTGGGTTCCAGCCTCATCTATGCAATCACTAGGTTTCCAAACACTTCAAAATCAACATGCTTAAAAATGAATTCATCATCTTTCCCCAAAAACTGGTCCAACTTCTACAGTCATATGTCAACTATTACACTGCCTTTCTTCAAAATCACTAAAGTAAACATAGGTGCATCCACAAGTATTTGTTCAACCCCGGTATTGACAACTTAAGGAGCTCAAAATTCAGGAAGAACTCCAGGAAAAAATTCAGAACTTGAATTAGTGCTATCCCTACTGACAAGCATAAGGTCTTTTGAGCAAGCGCTTTGTGCAGGAATGCCATGAAGGGGGAAAACCAGTTTCCAGTTATATCTTTGCTTTCTGGCCATGAAAATGATTCTCTTAGCAAATCACCTGCTTCATGTGCAATTATAGGGCAGCACCTTTATGAGCCTGAAGGAACCAGATGGTCTTCTGTATCCCTTTTAGCACTAAACTTAATAATTATAACCTTACAGTGAGAATAGTTTTCAACAAATTATTTTCAGTTCTTATAACATAAGCCAGATGATAAACTATGTATGATTACCAGGGGGCTTATTTAGGAGGTTCTATTAGGTAATCCTTAAGGTTCCTTCAGGTTCCTTAAGGAAACCAAGCAATCTTTGCTAACCAAATTTAAAGACAGCATTTCACACACTGGTATAACTACCTCCCAACAGGAGGGCATGCAGGACTACATTGGCTCTTCGATACCAGGGAGAGATTACCTGGGATCGGTGGGTAGGACCTTGGTCCACGCTCCTCCCGCTCCTCTGACCAAAGACAGGCATGCATGAATCTCCCTTGGACTGGATGGGAAACAGAGGAAAACAAATGGCCTCAAATAGATTTGAAGACAGAATGATATTTAAGGTACAATATAATTAATATGGAAAATACCGCATTTCATACACAGCTTCCTCCACTAACCCCTCAATGTGTGCTGCTCTTTCTTTTAAACACAATCTTAGTTCATCCAAATATTGTGCATCCACAGGTTTGTGTTAGGGATGGATCCTTCTTCAGTCCACGAAGGAGAATCATAATTATTCTATGGCAAGTATGTGGAAACTCCACATAACTGGAATTTCCACTTTGCCATTTCTTAGTTCAAATTCGGGTTTGCCCCCAAATGAGATCTGACAGCAGATCAGCTGGGGATCCTCAATAGGTATTTGTTGATTAATTAGAGGAAATACATTCATCATTACTTTGGGGGATTTTTTTAAATTAGAAGTTTATGATTTGGGGGCTTGTTTAGATATAAAATCAACATTCCAAGTTCTGTTCTAAAATACAAGATAGCTGTGCACACCAATTTTATTAAAGTGTATTTTATTTTGTACTCATGAATTTTTAAGCACTTTCTACTTTCAATTCACAGAGTGATTATAACTTCTTCGGAGTTCCTTTTATATTAAGCAATATTTTATAAATAATGATAATTATTCTGATTCCTGCTTTAATAAAAAAACCTTAAAATATTTTATTGGCAGGAACTAAGTCAGCCTCACTACGGAGATATGAATTTCAAAGAAAAAGAGATGCATATGGACGCACAGCAATTGCTTCACAGTCAATAAATATATGACCTTAACTATATGGGCAGCAGAAACATGAAAATTAGAAGGGTTTAAAAACATGTGAATTGCATTAATAAAAAATCAAGGAATATTAAAAAATAAACAACATGGATGGTGCTAGAGGGTATTATGCTCAGTGAAATAAGCCAGGCGGAGAAAGACAAGTACCAAATGATTTCACTCATCTGTGGAGCATAAGAATAAAGTAAAAACTGAAGGAACAAAACAGCAGCAGACTCACAGAACCCAAGAATGGACTAACAGTTACCAAAGGGAAAGGGACTGGGGAAGATGGGTGGGAAGGGAGGGATAAGGGGGAAAAAGGGGTATTATGATTAGCAGACATAAGGTGGGGGGCACAAGGAGGGCTGTACAACACAGAGAAGACAAGTAGTGATTCTATAGCATCTTACTACACTGATGGACAGTGACTGTAATGGGGTATGTGGTAGGGACTTGATAATGGGGGTATCTAGTAACCACAATGTTGCTCATGTAATTGTATATTAATGATATCAAAAAATGGCATCATAAAAGTACTACAGAAAAAATAATAATAATAAAAATAAAATAAATAAAATAAAAACAAACTGTCCTCAGTAGAATATACTGTAGGTCCTAGAAATCCTAATTCACCTAAAAGTGTTATTTTCAATCAAAATACTGCAAAACTATCAACTAGGATTACCAGGCAGAGGCACTGCTTCAGCAAGGCCAGGGGTATGAAGGAGTAAGCAGTTCAGACCTTTAGGATAACTAAACAGCACTTCAGCTTTTCACATTCGAGCTGTTTTTTTTCTGCTCCTTCAGCCGGTGTACAAGGCAATGAAAGGAAAGGATGAGGGTGCTCTGAACGTCACATGCCAGAAATATTACATTTACATAATTTTACAGTAAACTGTTTATGGTAAATTGTTTCACATTCTTTGACAGTTCAGATTTCTTGTGTATTTATAGGACAAAACCACCTAAAGCTTTCCTACATATTTAAAAAATAAGTGCCACCAACTCCTGTAGTATTTAAAATGGTTTCATTGCATATATGAAAGTAATTTGCTCTGTGACAACCCCCCGGTTAGGCAGCAGATACGCAGTGGGTCCGTGACCACACACAGTGGGAGTGTTGTGGCAGTTTGAGCCCCAAGAACGGATGACCCTACTGCCACAAACGGAGACTGCAATACAGTGTGGGGTATGGAACACTGATACTAAGGAGCATGTAGTTAGCAAAGAAAATATATGCAGGACTACAAACCCAAGGAGACAGAGCTATTTGGTTGCACAGACAGATAAAAGCAAAATTAGGAGTTAACACATAAGGCAAATAGCATTACGAGCACTGCATAGGGGAGGAAAGGAAAACCTCCAGGATGACTGTGCTTACAGAGAGTGCCGAGAAAATACACCAGAGACATTCAGGGCCATGATAAAATGCGACAGAAAAAAACAACCACACCTGCTATGGAAAACACAAAACAGGATCCCCCCACCTAGGTAAAAAGATCACAGCCAAGAACACAGTCTGCACAAGAAGGGTTTAAACCAATTTCTGTGCAAAGAAGTAGAAATCATTATCCAAATGTACTGTAGATTATTCATACTTTGTTATATATTCATGTATACAGTAACATGTACATAATCCTCAATTTAGACAATATTGTTGTAGAAAGAAGTTGAAGGTCCACCCACACAGCATAGTTTAACAGCAGTGGCCCCTCTGTCACCACAACAACTGAGGTTCTAATGCCCAAAGGGGAAAGTTTTGGGAAGTGACACCACTTTTAAAGTAGACTTTGAATTGCACAAAGTGATTCCTCACAATTGGAAAATAATTAGAAAATATAGAAAAAACAGAAAGAAAAGTTACCTCAAATTGAACAATTTAACCCTTCAATGTGTTCCATGCTAGGCTATTTGCTTCTCTGTTGCACACTATGTATATTGAAAGTTTTTCTTTAAAACTGGGTCTAGCAAGTACACTGTTTTAAGCAACCAGTTTTGTTCGTTGTTTCTTTTACTTAGTAAACCCGTTTTCAACATTCATGTGTTTCTGTGCATTAACAGCTGTATGGTAGGCCAGCTTATTTAATTTTCCTGCACAAGTCTCTGTGTTTAGACATATACGGTGTCTCCTCATTTCTGTAAATGTGCCTTGGATTTAATTTATAGAGGTGACTGAGCTATAACATGGCGTGGGGGAGAAGTCAATGCCACTGGAAGCAGCTTTACTAATCAGCGTTCCATGAAGAAGAGGCATGCCGTGTATTGTAAGGCCACATGCGGAAGCACCAGGGTCAGTCTGGAGGCAGAAAGGGGATGTGAGGAGAGCTAGATAAAGGAAGTGACTGCAGATAAGAGCTTTGGAATGTTGGTTTTCCTATGAAAGGCACACTCTCAGGCCAGTTGTTTACTATTTTTATAAATTAACTATCACTGGGAGGGGCATTCTCTCTAGGGCTAGCAAGGCCCCAAGATGCTAAAACATCATAAAATACAAAAAGTAAAAAAACTTGATCAATGCACTCATACTAACAGATGACAGTGAGCTCCCTTCAGCAACCTCTCTTACCTCTCTCATCTACCAAGACACTGGGACTCGATCCACCTAGATCACTGATGCCTTTAGCACCCAGCACCATACTTGTTTATCGCAGCCTCTGATATGATTGTGGATGACCTCAAAAGTCCTTGTGTCTAAGCCATCTGGCACCCCAACCTGCAGGTCTCTGATGTTCCCTTCCCTTCATCTCAGCCACCACCCTCATAACCACTTCCTCAGCCTAGTGGTCAGCAGAAGCACCATCTCCAAAAGGGAGTGTGGGAAGCTGTAATGCCAGAAGTTAGATGCTTATGAACTTTAACAAATAATTAAACAACTCAAAGCGAGGTTCTTCTAATAATAAAGATGACTAACATGTGCCCAATGTCAGCCCAAGTTTGGGAAACCAGTACTCTTCACTCTTCTGCACAGAATGTTGTCTTTACCCTAAGTGGGTTCTCTACTTTTTACACTAAAAGTTTAATTTTCATATTTTTTACCTCTGACTTTCAATTTCCAGTAATTTATCTCATTGATAAAATTTATAAAACATGATCCTCATGGTTCTCATTCTGTTTATGTTCTCATAATGTTGGGGAAACTGCACAAAGGCCAGTGCGCCTGGAGTGCAGAAGAAGAGTGAAAAGCAGAAGATGGTGTTGGCAGCCGCGCTCAGAAAATAGCGCCCAATGCAGGGCAGCCGGAAGGCCCCGAACTTCCTAATGACAAATCATCCCACACCACTAAACTACATGCTAATTGCGCCTTGGCATAAGGACCAATGAGACCCACCAAATGGTTATGCTAATAAGGCATATGGAGCCGCACCAACCAGGTCAGAGCATGAGAACTATATAAGCAAGCCTCTCCTTCCCCTCTGGGTCCTGCCCAACTCATTTGTTTCACAAAGAGCTGAAGAATAAAGCTTTCTGCAGAAGAATCCTGCTGTTGTTGCATGCTGTTCTTGCCGGCGAGGACAGGGCACGCGACAAGATGGAATTTGAGAAGCAGAAAGGGGACAGGTTTCCCCAGGGCACAGGGACAAGGGCAAAAATCTGGAATTTATTTTCAATGCAAAAGGAGACAAATGTGGTGTTTCCAGCAGTAGAGTGCTCAGTTTACGTCAATTTTTATACATTCTTCACCATGCACACTACTCCAAAGGCAAAGATGTTCTGAAAAAAAAACATATATATATACATAAGTGCCTGAAGAGACACAGCTGTGAGGAGTGGGAAAGAGGATGATACTCATGCCTCGAGAATAAAAACTCATGAAAAAAATCTAAAAGAATAGGAATAAGTGACATTGAAGAAAATAAAATGAATAAAAAAAAGAGCTGGTGAAAGTGGGGAAAAAAATGTCAGAGGTTACTCAAAAGCTACCGGAGAAAATTCCATCAGAGACAGTACCTAAACAATAAATCAAGTGATATTCATGGCTGAAATGAGAAACCAGCAGGAAGAATCTGGATTGCTTCTATGGAATAACAACAAAAAAATTCTATCTGGACCACACTGAAGATAAATGTTATTAATTCTTTAATAGCATATATACTTAGATTTCCAATAAATTTTTTACAAAACAAAAATCCAGTTGTTCCACAATCGACTTCACTAACTTCAAGCAATATCACCAACTTCGTCAGTTTTTTTAAATGTTTTTGAAATAGGAAAAACCTAGGTTA